GGAATTACTCACAATCCTACAAATACAACTAATATATGATAGACCACATAGTCTATCATGATTCAAGTCCTGGACCTGGTGGCTTCCTTTCTCACTTTCTCTTCTCTGTCTTTCTCTGGTAAAGTTGAAAACAAAAACAAATGAATAAATTAAAAAGTTAAATAAAGAATTATTTTAAAAAGAACAAATTATTGGTCTGTCCCCATGAGAACTTGTGATTCAAAGCTCTGGACACAACTGTTCAACTGGCATCTGTGACTAATGTAATGCAGGACTCTTTCCTTTTATATTACCCAGCTACAACATAATCTGAGGATCAGTTGTTTTTCTTACAAAATTCAAAAAGTAATTTACAAAAAATAGGTAGCTTTATAGAAATTGAAAGAAGTATTGTCATAGGATGGGAGAGTGTTGAGCTGCATTGTGAAGTCCTAGGTTCTTTGGGTCCAGATTACTAAAATTAGAGACCTGTCCCTAAGCACAAAATAAAGCCACAATGACAATAAAAGTAGGTAGGAAAGAGATTTTAATAGGAAAGACAGATTTTTAGAAAAGAAGTCCACCCAAATGACTTTTGGGCAGGGGGGTTCCTAGGTAGCAACTGCTGTGTTTGGAACTGGTTTAGGTGTTACTTTTACTACCAGAGATGATCCTGAATATTTAATGGTGGGAGGTCTTGTCACACTATGTCCTTTGTTGCACTTGTGCTTGCTCATCTCTCACACAGGTGAAGAATTTGAGGAATTTGTTTACCTAACTGCACCTGCCCAGTGTGAGCCAGGATGTTTAATTAGGATAGACTGCTCAATCAGTTTATCACCCAGTGAGAATCAGGATGTTGACCAAAATGCTTGGTTGGGTCTTTTTGTATACACAGGAATGATAAGACAGAAGTTTACAATCATCCCTGTGTGTCTTCCACAGTTACCAAGGAAGAAAAATGGTATTTGCCTTGTCTTCCCAGCTCCAGAGGCTGGGTGAAAAGAAGGCATCTCATGGAGGATCTAGTAAATAGTGATTGATGTGACATGTGTCCTTCTGCTATTTTCTTAGGACTGCCCGCTCATTACTAGCAAACTGCCTATCACAGTAGACCTTACTCTGTATTAGACTTTCTTGCAAATCAAAGAATGGTAGCTGTATGAGAACTTGTTATCCCAAATACTGTCACCAAACAGCCCTACTTCCTCTCCTATCCCCAAATGTACCACCTCCCCCTCAGGCCAGAGTTCACTGGCATTCTCATACAGGAGCTTTTCCTTACTGAATCCCAGACACCCCATTCAATTACTAAAAAATATCCTATCATATTTATTACAGAGGTGGCTGATATTGTTGCCAATTGTCAAATTTCTGATTACTTCAGTTGATTTTGATGCATGAGGGATACACAGCCACTGGGCAGACATCAACACTATATCAGTCTCTCTAGTCTGTCTCCACCTCAGAATATGTAAGAGTAGTGGGTAAATTGGAACATCAGTGACTTATCCCTCCTGCCACACCAGCTGCTCTGAGAAATTAATATGAGTCTCACTATCAAAAAAAGATAAAAGATGATATCGCTTACGA